AAAAAAAAAAAAGTGTCAGCTGCAGGGAAACCACCAAACTATACCAGTTTCCCAAAAGGGAGACTGGAAAGCGTAGGCCAGGCCCCCCTGAGGCGCTGGATGGCCGCACGGCCGTGTTGTCCGCACAGATGTGGGGCGCGGGGTCGTCCTCGGCCCCACACTGTCCCGTCTCAGCACCGCTGGGGCGGGGACAGAGCAGGTCCACTCTGACATTGCTGCTCTGAGGCCTGCCATCTGGTCCAAGGGAGGGCGATCGAATGGAGAAGGGGACCCGGGGCGGGGGATGCCGTGTCCCAGGCACCCCCAGGACAGGAACCAGGTCTGGTCCTGGGACACTTACATTGTGAAGTTTGTAGTACAGCCCACAGGCATTACAGACGGGGTCCCCATTGGCATTTCTTCTCCAGAGCGTCGTGGTGGTGGTTTGGCAGTTTGCACAGGACGTACCTGCTCTTCTTGCTGCCGACTGGGAGTGGGGAGGGGGGGAGAGAGAGAGAGGGTAAAATCAAAACAAAGGTGAAATGGGCTTTCAGAACCACGGAGACACACTGACAACAAGAAAAAGAAAAAAATTATCATTGAAATCAAAACTAGCAAGTGGCCCACATGAAAGTAATAAAGATCCCCAAAAGCTGCCTCAAGAAGAAAAATACAGCCAATCCCCTGGCACAGGATCGTGTTGCACGGTCGTCAAGGGGCCAGAATCTCACCTGCCACTCTACGGGGCGGGATCAGGAGGCTCGGAGAGCCCACATCACCGCCCTGAGCTAATGGTCCCCCAAGCCTCAGCCAGCAAAGTTGCCCGGATGTTTAACTTGTACGGGTAGCAACTTTGAATTAGCGTGGTACCGGGCTCTTGGGACCCCTGTGCACCAGACTCCCAGAAAGCCGCTTGCAAGGGCAACTGCCAAGAAGATTGATGCTCAACGAGGCCATCACAACACGCGAACAGCAAAGGGAGAGCGAACCCAAACATCCAGAGCACTTGACAGCTCCCAAATAAAGAAATGCTGGATTCAAAAGAGAACAGGGGGCCCGCACAGTAGGAGAGCATCCACGCCTCTGTGTGTCTGTGTGTGTGTGTGTGTGTGTGTGTGTGTGTGTGGCACGCACCCACAGGACGGGCCACTTAGGAAGCACCAAGCAGGACATCCTTCATGAGCCAGACCCCCAGCAAATCTGCAGCAGCCTTATACTTGCCTGGCCCACACTCCTGGTGACCACCACCCTCCTTCTCGTTAGGTGGCTTTCAGTTCATGAGCCAAACTGAAAAGCACGGAGAATTCTGCTAATCAACAGGAACCCACCCCCACCCCCCATCCTGCTCTCAATTCATTTCACCTTCGTGAAATTAGGTATTTCCTATTTGCTGTTCACAGAGCCCAAGAGTAGCAGGTCAGATGTCAGGCTCAGCTTGAATTTTAATTATTTGGTTGTGTCACTGACTTCATTTCCTTGAAGAGGGAGATTTTTCTTTCACTTTTTGACACACTTAAACTTACGGAGGGTACTATTCTCGACGTCCACACTTTAAGGAAAAAGAAATGTAAACTCAAATATTTTCCAAAGAAAACGAAGTTGGGTCCCTTTTAACATATACCTCTGTCAATTCCTTCCCCTCTCCCCCCGACCTACAAAGACAATTTTAATTGCAGAAGTATTCCCAGGCTCTGGACTGAAATATATTATCAAAGGCCAGAGGAGGAGCAAGAATTCAGCTATCTGTGATCTAGAAAACTCCGGCATGTTTATAAAAGCCTGAGATCAAACTAGAGGGATCGTGGTATGCTTTTCCATCAATATTTCATCAAGCAAAAAGTTAGGCCCAACACCCAAAGCTGCCAGATATGGGCAACCTCGTGGCTATTCTGAATCAAGCCGACTGATTGCCCTCCCTTCAAACCACTACATTGTCCCACAGATAGGCTCCTCTTTCCTACAAGCTTTAAGAGCAGAGTTATGGCTTTTATTTATCTATATTTTGGGGGGGTATTCTTTTTTTCCTGTGTTCTACAAAAACTGGGAAGAAAAACCAGCTCTTCCCTGTCATCATTGAGAAAGTCCTACTTTCTGGCTGTCCATTTGGGAAACAGTTCCCCATAGCCCAGGGGTGCCGCCTCTGACCCCGCACGTCCGTGCCCACCCACCACTCGTAAACCGTGCTGAGCTGAGACCGGACTAACTTGCACTTGTATACTCTTGGGAAGAAATCAATACAGAAAATCAGTGCTTGATGATTCTGACAACGATGTGATCGTGTGATTATTATTATCTCCCTGTACTTTTTTCTTGATAACAGATACTGAGATCGAGTCGATTAATATCTACGCGGGCAGCAGATTTCCCAGCTCAGCAACTTTAAATGTGTGCTACAAGGACATAATACCAGCCGGTAAAAGTCAAGCTCCAAGCCAGGAGGTCCCTAGTGCAGTCCTTCCCAGTGTATTGACAGTAACGTAAATACAAGCGGCCTCAGAAAAAGTCTCTGGTCCACAGACTTGATGCGAATTTATACAGACTCTAAAAGCCACACTGTTTGGTTCACTAGCAGGAGACAAAGTACATTAATAAAGCAAGCTCGACTCGGCTAGCCAGTTAGACATACGAAAACCCTGGCAAGACTCAGAAAAAATATTCTATGGATCTCCTCTCTAGTCATTTCTTCTATTTCCTGCATGAGTTTATTCAGGGTTAGACAGGCATCTTACTGAAGAGCTAGCTACATTATGGGCTGGGTGGTCTTCAGCAAATCTGGAAATGTGTACAGCCAAAATAGCAAACTGGGGAAGCGGGGCTGGCATGAAGGAACAGGAAATATAGGGAAGAAGAAAAAGAAAGTTCTAGGTACTCAGAAAGAAGTCAAACACATCTAAAGGCTAAAAAAAAAAAAAACCCCAAAATATCCTGAATGTGCTCTGAGTCGCTCTCCAGAGCATATGAATTCCAGGGAACTAAAAATACAAAACCACCCAGAACGGATGAGTAAGAAAGAAAAGACAGCTTAAAAATGTGACAGCCAATGAACTCCGGAATTAAAAGCAATTATTACTCAGAGTTCTAGAGATTTCTTATGAAAGGTGAATGAAGACAAACTTATATAAAATGCAAGTAGAGCCCTCCTATGCAATCTTCCCAGACAGAAGAAACCCCAAGAAAATGTCAAATACACTCTTGCTCATCAACCAGCCCATAGTCTGAGACTTGACACCCTTTTTTTTCTTCTCTTTTTTTTTTTTTACCTTAAAAAAAAGTCTAATTATAAGGATGGTACCATGACTTATTTTAACAAGAAAGTTGTTGTTGGTTTTCTTTTCCTCTCTTTCTCTCTTTTTTCTTTTTTCTTTCTTTCTTTTTTTTTTTTTTAACTAAGGCCAGGTTTGAGTGATTCAGAACATTCTTTTGTGGTGCGATCATATTCATTCTGTGCTAACACCTCCAGCCATTTTTTTTTTTTTTCAAACACTTGTTCTGATACGTTCAAACATCTTGATGTTTAGGTTGGGGAAGCTGAGTTGTTGTTTATGAGTTATCTCCAGTGCTCAGATATCCGGCAGCTTTTTCCTAGGAAGTTAGCTTTGCACATGAGAGAAAGGAAAAAAAAATACCCAAGTGCATGGGGACAAGTGGGGGGAGGTTGAGAACGCTGGAGAAGGGGGCGAAGACCAGAAGGAATAAAGCCGGGAGACCCGGGCTTGCCAAAAATTAAAGTCACGTGGGCACTTCCATCCCTAGAAAGTTTTTCCTTTCTCTCTGAAAAGGATGTGAAAGGTGTTAAGTTGCACTAAAATCTGATGGGGATGACAAATAATTCTTTAAAAAGAACATACACACACACTTAGAATTTGATGGATGCTGCTTTATCCACTAATCTGCATGGGGAAATTCCCCTCCTCCCCTCTCTACTTGGTGAATGTCATCACTACAAAAAGCATTTTGATCTCTTGACTGTGGTTAGAGTTATCATTTGCCAAGCCTGCTTTTATTTGTCTGTTACATACACTTGCTATTCAATCCAAGCCTGAGGTTCCAAAGACAAGTTCACCAATGAACTTCTCCTGCTAGTCTTCCTTATAAATTGCTCAAGTATTCCTAAGGGTCAAGACTTTTGAGAAAGAAAGAAGGAGGGGATTAAAAACCATCACCCTCCCGGTAGTGGTTCAAAGGGGAAATAAGAGCAAATGTTACATGAGACCAAGAGGCAAGACAGGAATCACACAGTTTTTCCCAAAGGCATGAGCTGTGGAAAGTCCTCAATCCTTAAGACCAGGAAAGAAGAAAAACTCAGCTCGACTCAGGGGCTGCTGCTAGTGAGATTCAGCTAATGGGCCCCGTCCTTCTTAAAGCACGGGCACAGGAGACCCCTCCGTGGCACTGAACCTGGCTCACTTCCTCGGGGGCCTGCCGCTCAGGGACGGGGTCTAGATGGTTCCTGGTACATGCATCTGCACACAACATCTCTCCGTCTGTGGCACAGCGATTATCAATGAATCTGAACTCACTTGCCCTGGTCCGCTCTCATTCTATTTGTAAACACATTAGAGATTTGATAACCAAAAAGCCAGCATCCTTAAAAAATTTGGTAAGTGACTTAGGAAATATGAAGGGGGGGGGGAATAAAAGACAGAGAGAGAGAGAGCTTTTCTGTATATCCAATTTGAGAAAAGAAAGGGGGGCGGGGGGGGAAGGATCCCCAAGCAAGCTGACAGGATTTTGAGCTGTCCTGCCAATTTCCTGCAGCAAGCTCTCCTTCCTGAAGAGAGGAAATTAAAAACACACAATGGTTCGTGTTGGATCAGTGTTTCTGGAGGAGAACTCACCAGCCTTCGCTTGGGCTTGATGAGGGGTCGGTTCTGTCCGTTCATTTTGTGGTAGAGCCCACAGGCGTTGCACAGGTAATGCCCGGTGCCATCCCGCCGCCATAGTGGGGTTGAGGTGGCCCCGCAGTTCACACACTCCCTGCCTTCTGGAAACAAGACCACACATAAGTCACTTATGGAAGGAACACTGACAGCACTCAGAAGGAGGGCATGAGAGTAAAAGTGGACACTTTGTTTTTCCCCCTCTCTGCTCCCTCTATTGGGGAACTTTCCCCCCACCCCCCACCCCCCACCTCCCTTAAGGCGGCTCCCAAGTGGGGAAGAGTCACCCCCCAGCCCTGTCATGGCTTAACCATTCCGGCACACACTCAGCAACCGCCCCAAGAAGTGGCTCATGAATAAACAGCAGCAGAACCTTGCTCTGGGCCTGCCTGACTTGATGGGGAAGATCAAGTGCAGCCAAGGAAGAAGGCAAATGGCAACTTGAAATAGTTCCCTGAGAAAATGCAAAGTCCTGGACTGTGGCAAAGCAAAACATTCCAAGTTGGTTCCCTCAAAGGAAAACAGAGGGGCCCCATTACCATCGCAGGGTCTGTCTATAGAGATCGATTAAATCCTGACTATTCCGATGGGGGAAAAGGAAAGATGAATCGATGGCTAGTTAGATAAACAGAGAATAAATCGATGAATAGACTGATCAATGGGCTGATTGATTTTGAGGACCCAGGACTTTAGATTTTACTTCCAATAAAACTGGAAACGTCCCCTGTTGGCATATAATAGATGAAGACCTGGTGTGGTCCACTCTTTCCCCCCACCACCTTTTTTCTCTCTCTAGAAAAGGCCAAGTCTTTCTATGATTTACCAGCCACTGTGACAGACACCAGAGGTGAAGTATGACCCCAGCTGGACCAGACCAGGAGGTGTTGGAGGGAAATACCCCTGGAGGTGTTGGCGGGAGGAAAGAGTCAGAAGGAGCAGCATGAGGGGCAGATCGGGAGAACAGGCCAATTAAAGAAAGGGGGGGGGTGGCCTCATTAACCAAGGCCTTCCTGCAGTAGCTTTTTTTCCAAAAAAACAAACAAATAAAATAAACAAAAAACCGGCCAGGCCGGTTCACTCCGGGGGCAGGAGAGTGACCCAGACCCATCTCCGGAGGGAAAGCTCCTGGAGAGAAGCCCTCAAAATACCATTTTAAGACCACAGGGCAGTTTTGCTCACTGATTTCTTTCCAACTTCTGTGGGAGAAGGAAAGGAAAGACAGTTTCTGGGAGAACCTGCCCAGCTCTTGGGGGGCCTCATCCTCCTGGCGGGCGTGGGGCGTGTACCAGCATCTCTGCCAACCAAGCCAGCCTGGGAGGAGCTCCCTCCCCCCCAAACCACCCCTGCTCCCCCCCCAACCTACCCTGCAGGAGGTAGTAGCTCCAATGGAGCTGGTCTCCCAAGAGGAGGAGCCGGGCAGAGGGTTTCGCTTTCTCTGGGGGTGCTGGGGGGAGGTTTGGGAGGATGGCAGGGGACAAAGACGAGCCCCTAAGTGTTGTTTCGTTTTATGAGATTAATCGGCTAATTCCAAACTACCAGGAAGACAGGGTGGAGGAGGAGAACCGGGCAGGCTGCTTGGGAACCTAGACGACTCCTTACACCAGGAGAACACGGCAGGCTTGGGGGCCTGTGTGGCCTTTGGAAACCCCTAGACCAAGTATGAAGGACGTTGGGGGTTCACACCTGTAAGCCTCTTTTGTTTTGTTTTGTTTTGTTTTTTTCTCCAGGGACAGGCTCTGGGGAAGGAAAAAGACTTTCAGAAATGGAGGGCTTTGCCTGACATTGGAGTTCATAATGGTGCTAACCAGTTTTTGTCCACTTTCCTTTTAAAAGGAAAAAAAAGAATATAAGGAGTTAAGAGAAACGTTTTGTATATATATATATATATTTTTTTTTTTTCACCATATTCCAAAAAGCTGTTCAACCCAGGGTCTACAGAGAGCCTCCCACGAGCCACCGGCCTTCTCCCCAAACTCGGTCGCTACTGAGCCGGGAGCACGCGTCCAGGTACCCAACAGTATCTACCGGGCCTCAAAAAGGCTTGGGACCAAATTACCTCGACACCTTCCACTGGAGGAAGGGGGAAAGGGCGAGTGGGTGAGGAGGTGCCTGCTGCAGCCTAGCCAGGGGGTGGGCAGGCCCGGCAGGCCCCGTGCCCCACACAGGCACTGGGTGGGCCCTTCTGGGGGCAGCGATGCCGGCCTGTGCTGGCCGGGGCCCCAGGCCCACTCCCCATCCGGCCAAGACAGGGGCTTCTCGGGTCCCTTGGCACCCGGTCCCTTTCCCGCTGTGCAGGGAGGGCTCGGGCGAGGTTTTGCCGGCCCCCTCCTCCGTCTGCTCCCGCAGCACCCTCTGGGGGTGGAGTCCCCACTGGCTTGGGGCCGGCAGCCCTGCTCCTAGGCACCCGGGGGCTCGGGGATCTCCCGGCCTGACGAGATTAGTCTGATTTCCTTTCCTTTGTCAGCCAGTGGGGAGGATGACAGCTTCCTTTTCAGAGGGACCTTCAAAACTAGCAACGGTTGCCTCTTCAGCCAGGCTCTGCACACTAGAGCAATTTTCTGTCTTGATTCACTCCGCAAGTTTGCGATTGCCTTGTCTCGCTTTTTCTTTCTTTTTTTTTTTTTCTTCTCTCATTGTTGCCGCTAGTCTGTGACTTCAGCAAACAACCAATTTTCCTAATGGAGGCCCCGACTCTCTCCTGCTTTCTTTCCCTCTCCTCGCTCACTGCCTGGTGTGAGCTGCTCAGACAGACACCTCTCCCTCATAGGTGACAAGAACCACAGAGCTGCAAGGCCTCTTGACATTCAACAGCCATTTTCAAAACACCCTCCCTGGCCTCCAGCTGAAATCCTGAGACCGGGGCTGGACGGAAAGAGCAGGAGCCAGGGAGGAGGCTAAGAAGGATAAGGTGGGGCGAGATACCCACAGTCGGGGCGGTGGGGGGGGGGGGGCGCAGAAAGGGCCCTTCGCTAAAAGGCTTTGTCTTTTGTTTGCAGAGGGAGACCCAGAACTGACAGCCCGGCGTTAGAAAAGCACAAGGTGCCCTAACCACTGCTTCAACCGTTCCTCCAAAATGCAACAACCCTCTCTCCTCCTGTCTCTACCTTAGGCAAGTGCATTTGCACAGAGTTCAAAAAAAAAAAAAAAAAAACTCAACCACGAAACCCCAGAGAACTCCCTGAAGAACTGCTACCATTTCCACCCTCTCTACCCAGAAGGGTCTAGAAACCCTCCTCCCCACTCCCACACTCCCGAAAGTCCCAGCTCCCTAGCTCACAAGGTGCCCTAACCACTGCTTCAACCGTTCCTCCAAAATGCAACAACCCTCTCTCCTCCTGTCTCTACCTTAGGCAAGTGCATTTTGCACAGAGTTCAAAAAAAAAAAAAAAAAAACTCAACCACGAAACCCCAGAGAACTCCCTGAAGAACTGCTACCATTTCCACCCTCTCTACCCAGAAGGGTCTAGAAACCCTCCTCCCCACTCCCACACTCCCGAAAGTCCCAGCTCCCTAGCTGCCCAGGTGTGCTGTTTTGGGGTTTCTGACTGTGAGAAAGGAATAAGAAGGAGGAAGTAAGAAGCCAAATTGCAATGTCTTCTCTCCTCTCCCCACCTACCAAAAAAGAAAAAAATATATATACACACATATATAGAATAAAATCAGTCCGTAGGTGCTCCTGGTTCTGGTTTAGGGTAACTGCACCTCTTCCTCCCACCCACCCCCAAATGTTCAGGGGCTTGAGGAATGAGGGAGAGGAAGGAAAAGACTAGCCGAAGGCCCGAAGGCGTGCACACAGAGGGGAGAGAAACCAGAGACTCTGGAAAAGTCGTTCTGTCCCCTCCTCCACTCAAACCACCACCCCAGCCTCAGATACCACGATCTTTCCCCCAAAACTTTGCGCTACCAGAAAAGAGAACTTAAAAAAAAAAAAAAATCCCATCACTACCTCAAAATGCATCGGTTTTGCTCTCTTTGCAATCAGTCCTCAAGCCCTGATCTAATCCCGGCTTTTCTGAGCCAAGCTGAACCCCATTTCTCTGGAACCCTCCACTCCGCGCCCAAGCCCAGCCCCCGGCAAGGCAGCCTGGCCACTTTCCTCCGCCTGTTCTCCCTTCCTCTTGCTTTCTCTTTGACTCCACCAGCGAGCCTACCTCCCTCTCCCTCTGCCGACTTTCATGTACTGAACATGCAGGTCTGAGTTTCTCTGTCAGCCTAACCGCATCCGGACTCTATTAAAGTTCCTGGCGCGGGATAAACAATGCAACTGTCGCACGCAGCAGTCTGAAAATAATTGGATTAGCTAAAACATATCAACTAAATAGAGACAGTCCTGCCCAGGCAGTCAGAGTGAATGTCACCCTGGAAAAAAAAAAAAAAAAACCCTGAAAACTGATCTCATGGTCACTGGACTCCCAGAGCCCTCCCTTGGAAGTTTTTCAAACCCGGGTTTTGCAAGCCCGGTTTCAAGACTGCTCGTCCCACCCATAAAAGACAAGTGATTTTCACCACTTCTTTGTATATAGGATCTCCATAGACAGAGGGCAGAGGTGAGTCGTTGGAATGAGCCAGGACAGACAGACCCACCCCAAAATGGACCCACCCGCGGAGACAGAACAATCTTCGAAGAAAAATCATCTTTCAAACTATAGCTAAATCTCATCTGAGAGAATCCCAAGGTCTCTCCAATACTTGGGTTAGAAGGAACATTGGTGATGGATTATTTTATTTTGAAAGCCAGAATATTCTGTGTGGGTTTGGTGTTGCTTTTTTTTTTTAAAGCAAGTGTCTAGAGCCATAGAATAAAGATGCAGCACGCTTTTAGACAGGGTGTGCTTTTTTGAGAGAGGATGAGCAGAGGAAGCGGAGACCCACACCTAGGGAATGTCGTTCAGTCTTGCCTACCCCCTCTGTCTTCAGATCATTCGAGGAATAGGTCCTGAGATGCCTTCCTGCCCCTGCCTGTGCGGCCACCACAGGTAACTGGCCCCCCTGGACTTTGGATTTTCATTCCAGTTTCCCCAGGGCAGAGCCCACCTCTCTCCCAGAACTTAGGGGGGCAGCCTCTTTTCCACGCAAAGAATAGGTGTACTGCTCTTGCCAGGGTCCTGCCCAACCCCACACAAAAATATACCCATGCTTTATTTATCCATGTCCCCTGTTGCCTGCATGACCCCCTCTGAGCTGAGCCCAGAGGAACAGGCAGACGGGGCCCCAGAGGCCAGGGGGGTCAAACGAGGGACCTGTGTTTGTTTAGGTTTGAGGAGGTTTCGTTTTAGCATTAAACACTAAAGATTTATTCCCTGGTCTTTCCATTTGGTCTTGGAAACTGACTAGAGGTTACTGGCAGAACCCAAAGGTCCCTGAGCAGGCGGGACAGGGTATTTGTTTTTGTTTGTCTTTTTCCTTCCCCAGCTGGGGCGGGGTGGGGGGGGGGTTGGTAAATTAGATCCCACTTCCCCTCTGCTCTGAGGACTGGAATGAGATAGGACACACCTCATTCTTTGCCCCCGCTGGAAGAAAGGGAAGAAATCAAATCTCAGAAGGGTCTGGAACACCAGCCAGATGCCCCCCCCCCCCGAGGGGCCAGACTGAGGCTCCCTCCTCCGCGCCCCGGATTTAGGAGACAGGAGAGGTGGGAGGCGGAGAAAAGGCCTGGGGGGAGGCGGAGAAGGTTCCTACCTGTGCTGGATCTCGCCTTGGGTCTCGACTTACATCCGAAGCCGGTGGGGGAGCCCCCCAGCAGGCTGCTGGGCGGGAAGAGTCCGGAGCTGTATTCGGGGACGTAGGGCGGGTACGTGGTGATGGGGTGGTGCGCCGACGAGGCCGCCCCTCCCAGGGTGGTCATGCTGCCCCGCGAGTGCGTGGACTCGAGCTTCATGCTGTCGGGCAGCGGCACCTGGTACTTGATGCACTCTTTCTCGTCCTGCCGGGCCGAGCCGGCCGAGCCCGGAGTGGACAGGGACGGGTCCGGGGAGACGTCCTTCGGCGGGGTGGGCGGGAAGGTGAAGAGGTGCGGGCTGGAGTGGCCCGCCGACAGCGAGGAGGACGAAGCCGGGGGGTAGACGGACAGGGGCCCCGGGGAGCCGTGGTGGATGGACGTCTTGGAGAAGGGGCTGAGGTTCCAGGGCGACGCGGTGTGGTGGCTGCCCAGAGCTTTGCCGCCGTCCAGCCAGGGCAGGGATCCGTGCAGCAGGGGCGGGCGGCACACCTGACTCCCTGCGCGGGAAGGCGGGGTGGGGGATGCAGGAGAGAGAAATGCCCGTGAGAGCCGCTTCGGAGGCGCTCCACACACCTGGGGGTTCTCCCCCTGCCGGGGCAGTCCCAAATACACCCTGGATTTGAGCGCGGGCCCACTCCTTCACCCAGGCCGCCCACCACCCGCTCCCCCCGCCTCCGCCCCAGGACCTTGGCCAGCACACACTTTATGCCCGTGTCTCCCACATGAAGGTCCCCTCAAATCCAGCAGAATTAGGGGCCTGTGTCCGACACCCAAGAGGTGCTGGGAGGGAGTGGAGAGAGCCCCTGGGCATATTTGGTCTCTCCAGATACAGTTTCTAAATGGCATCCCCCGAGGTTCCTCTCTAGAACCTGACTTGATTTATTGGTTTCCTTCCATGGCCCAGCGTCCCCCATCCCAGACCTAACCCCAGCCAGCCTGATAAGAGTAGGCTGTGAATAATGAGGCCTGATGGGGAGAGCCTGGCCGCACAAGGGCTCCACACCAGGAAAAGACAGGGACCTGGAGAGAGGCCCCACTCCCGAGATCCAGTGCAGGAAGGAGGGTGCTCGCTCTCAGAAGGGAGGAGAGGGAGCATTTTGGGGTTACTTCCCTGAAACCCTGCTTCAGTGCTTGCTCATAACTGGCAAGGCCTGAAGTGGGATTTGCAAGGACATTGTAATTGCCCAGACTGTTGGAGGCAGTTTCCAAGGCTGGACTCTGCCTTTCTCACCCTCCCAAATCCTCCAGAAGGAAAATAAAGTAAACCCCATATTTGCCCTCAAAGTTGGGATTCCACCAGTGCCATAGGTGAATTTTCACCTGTGCCCCAGCGACACAAAATTCCTGTTGACATATATATTTCGCTTCTCCACAGAGCATTCGAAATACAGAGTTTTCAGATGGGCATAACTCAGACACGTCCATACACCCTGAGAGGGGTCCATGCCGGGGGCAAGTGCAAATCCACACACTTATTGATCTTTTAATCCACTACCTGCCTCAGCATCTGACATTCTATTTAACCATGAAGAACAATACTGAAACTAAAATCTTGAGAGAGGAAGGGGAGGGGAGAGGGAAGGAGAGTTCTCTGAACGCCAAGGGTCAAGATTCAATGTTATGCAGGAAGTAGTATAGTAAATAATATTAAGTCTGCATCTACCGCATTTCCACTTAACTGCCGATCTGCACAGAACAAGGGCAGAGAGCGCCCCATCCGCAGGAACAATTGTTTAAAACCTGGTGACAGCAGGGCAGAGGACGCCTGCTGCAGAGGGGCTCTGTCACCGGCGCCGACGCAGGCTCTAAGTAGGGGGACCAGGGAAGACTTCAGTCGCCCAGACTAAAAGAGACTCACGTTTTCTCTGCCTGAGATGGTGCCTCTAGTTCTTCTTTAGGAACCCACTTATGCTGGAAAGCTTAGAGCTTCCCCCCCAACCCCTAACTACACAGGGCTGGATTTCTTAACCTTTTAGAACTCGTCTAAACTTTTCAAAGGTGAAAGAGAAAGAAAAAAAAGAAAAGACAACTGGAATCGCTCCCACATAAGAAAGAAACCGCGGTGGATCCTAAATCTTCTTTGGGAGCCTAATGGGACTGTTGTAGGCCGGAGGAGAGAGTAAGGCAAGGGTTTGGGGGAGCAGGCAATGAGGCAACCTAAAAGCAAAGACGCAGGAAAATTCTGTGCAGCCGGGAGTCTAGGAAATTTCAAATGTCTCCTATTTAAGACAGCAGTCTCTCCACCAAAACCCCCTCAAAGTACCAGAATTCCATTCCTCAGAGCCAAGAGGTGGCAGACCTGCCTAGGAACCAAATGCACTAGCTTTGGGGAAAGGTCAAAAAACAGGGATCAGGGATGCGAATCAAATTTCTCTCGGGCCTTTCTAAAAATGTGCCGGAAAAAAGAAACTGAGGAACGCTGGCAGAAGCCTCCCTTCCCCCCCCCCCGCCACAACCCCACCCTGAGAAAGAACTACAGGGTAACTGGGGGAGTGAAGCCCTTTTTGAAGGAACCAAGTCCGAGCCGGGTTTGGCCGGCGCCGGCTGCGGGCCCACGGAGCCATGGCCGCAGGGGCAGAGCCCGGCCCCCGGAGCCCCGGGCCCCGGAGGCCCCCCGAACCTGCGGCCGTACGGGGACAGAGGGTTGCAGTCGGGCGCCTGCCAGGTGAGCGCCAGGCCCGAGACAGAGCAGCCAGCCGCGGAGAGACGCCTGCTGCGACTTTTTAAAAACACACTCTCGCGGCGATTGACACTGCTTCCTCGCCCATTTCCGGGCCCCAATTTTTTTAATTGTAGCAGGAACGGCCCTTGGGGGCTTTGGCTGCGTCTCCCACCCCCCGGTCCCTCCCCGCCTCCCCGGCCCGGGTGGGGGGGGGGGCAGCGGCGGCGGCTGGGCAGGGGTCCCCGCGCCCCGGGGCGGACTCACCGTGGTGGGTCGGAGGGTACCTCTGCACCGTGGCCCTCACGGAGTTTCCGTAGTAGGAAGGGACGTGGTTGCCTTGACCGTCGATGTTAAAAAGTACATCCACCTCCTCGGGCAGGGGGTACTGCGCGGGGTCCATGTAGGAGTGGCCGAGGCCCGGGTGGTGCGTGTCCGGGTGCTGCCCGTTGAGGACCGCGGGGTGGTGATGGCTCACCCAGCGCGGCTGGTCCGCCGTCACCTCCATGGCCCCGGCTGCGCTCGCGCCCTCTCGCCGGGCCCGGAACCCGCGCGCGGAGAGGGAGGGCGGTCGGACTGGAGGGTCGCGGGGCTCTGAGACTCTGCAGGTGCTCCTGCCGTCGGAGGGGCGGGGGTCGTTTAATGATTTGTTTTCAGTGGGGCAATGGGAAAACTAGGAAGGAAAGGTGAGCAAAGGAGATTAAAAAAAAAAAACAAAAAACCTTTAAGCAGTATTTTAGCTAAGAGAAGAAGAGGAAGAAAAAAAGAAATTCCAGAAAAACAGGTACGGAAGGCTACAGGGGGAACCAAATTCTAAAGGGGGAGGAGGGCGAGCGAAGGTGGCTGGAATTCTGCAAGTGGGGCTCTTCTGCACCGGGGCTTGCTCAGCGGCTCGGAGGCTGAGGCTCTCCTCGGGTCACCTGCGGAGGAGAGAAGGGGGAGACCTGGATGAGCTCCTAAGTACTTGAGCACCTGAGCTTATGAAGTGGCACCACCTCCCCGCGAGCCGCCCGGCCCCGCGCCCGCGCACCCAGGACACGCGCACACACGCGCACACGCGCACGCCTCCTCCCGAGCGAGGCCCACCCGGACGCGGCCGCCCAGGGAACGGCTCCCGAGTACATCGCCAGCAGCCCGGCTCTCCCGAGGGCCCTGCACTGACTGAGCGGTTCCAGTTCGGCCGACAGCTCCCTCCCCCCCGGGGACAGCGATCCCGGGACCTTCCTTCCAGGCCTCTAGCAACTCTCCAAAGGAGGAGGGTTGAGTTTAAAGTGTTTTTAAAGTCCTCCCAAATGGAGCGAGGGGGAGAAAAAAAAAAAATCAAACTTAAAAAAAAAAAAAGTTGCCAGTACCAACCTGGGTAGCGAGGAGCAGAGAGGAGGAGGCGTGTGACCTGGGAGAGCAGAAACTGCTCGGTCAGATTGCGTGGCTCGCTCCGTCGCGCGCGCTCTCCGTCTCTCTCTCTTTTCCTCTCTCTCTCTCTCTCTCTCTCCCTCTCTCCAGTATTTTTTTTTTTTTTTTACAGGGAATGCATTCTTTCTGAAAGTATCAAGACGGCGCCAGGCAGCTCAGTGTTCGCAGACAGCTGTGGCGCGACGCAACTTAAGGAGGTTCTAGTGTCATCCGCGCCGAGGGGGAGGAGCCTGGCGCTGGCGAGGAGGGGACAGGATCACCAGCACAAGGAAACTGCAACCCAAACCCGCTCCAGGACCTCACCACCCCTCCCCTGCACCCCTCCGCCCCTGCTCCCGCCCCTCCACTGACCGGAAGGGGGGCGCCGCGGAGGGCCGCCCGGGCGGAGGGTCGGCGGAGCGGGTGGGCAAGGCCCGCGGGGTTTGGGGCGGAGGGGGCGGGCAGGAGGGAATTTGCGCTCTGGCCCTTTAAATGTGGTTCCCGCTCCTGCCAATTCATTCCGGCTCGGGTGATTATTCCGTGCCGGGGAAACCGGCCTGCCCCATTCATAAAGTCAATTTCTACAGGCAGCCTTTATTTTCCAGACTTTTTTTAATGGCCAAACTTCTTTTTTAAATTCAATCCAGGGTATTTGGGAGGCTACTGATTTAGGGCTACGTGCATATAAAACTGATCAGAAAAAAAAAAAAAAGATTTTTTTAACTGCCAAAGTCCTTTTGAGATTTGCCTCTGGAGAGAATTGCCTAAGAGACTGAGGAATGGGGCGAGAGGAGTAACTTTTATTGGAATGTCCGTGTTACTTTGGTGGTCGTTGTCAACATTTCCCCTAGTCTTTTGTGTTCGCAAGCCCCTTGGATGGACGTTTCCGCTGTTGCAGCTGTCCCTTCCAGACCTGATATTTGTAATCGATGCGTGCTTCTGACTTGAGGGGCAGTAGGGACGAAAGAAAATGAAAGGGAGAGAGAGGAAGACGCTAACTAGCCCTCGGAGCACAGCGCGAGAGAGTGGTTGCAAAGAAAGAACTCGGGTCTTCTTTCCAGTTACCCAACTTTTCCCTTCACCCCGCCCAGGGCCCTACTTACTCTGGCTCCCGGCGTTTTTCCCCAGCCGAGGAACCAACCCCCTCCACCTACCCCCATCCCGGTCGGTGGGCAGGACTGCAGCGACCTTCCCCGGACTCGCTCGGCCCGGCCCGGCCCCGCAGCCCCGGGCGGAGGGGGTGCGGCTCCAGAAGCCCCGGCGAGGGGGCGGGGCGCGAGGGGCGGGGCCGGGAAGGGGCCAATCAGCGGGCGAGGCTGTGGCCGGGCCGCGATTGGCCGGCCCCGCGGGCTCCAACCTCCCCGGCCTCTCTTGGTCCTTTGAGCCACTGCATCCCCTAGCGGCGCCCAGGCTCCTGCAGCCGCCAGTCCCGAAAACGCGGCCGGGGCGAGCAGGGGTCAGGCGGGAAGAGAGGACTCAGGTTCCACCCTCTGCTCACCCCAGTGCAATGTGTGCGAAGAGAGTGCGGGTTCACCCCGCAGGCTAGCCCACGGACCGTACTAAGAGCTGGATTGGGGGGTTTATTTGAATTGAAGCCATTATTCCCTCTAAGCTGCTCTCCCCCATAAAACTCCCTACAAATACAAAAAGTCGAAATAGAAGAGACCGTCCCTAAAAGTAAGCTCTGGAGGATTCCTTTCATGCGGTCAAGGAAAATCATCAATATTCAGACTAACTTGGTGTGTGTGTGTTGGGGTGGGGGCGAGAGATGACTTGTTTTAATACACAATCCCTGTAGAAAGATTAGTAAAATTTGAGAGTAGTGGGAACATGGGTCCTCCCGATCTTGGATTTGGAGCTTCTCCTGAGGCTCCGTCTTCTTAAATCTGATGTTTGTTAGAAATCAGGGTTGAGCTTCTAGATACGGGACAGGAAAATTCCTAAATTAAACACACGCACACACCGCCCTCCCCCCACGTTTCTCCTGAGCCCATTTAGTTCCCGTTTATTAGGGCGGCCCAGTAAAGAAGCATCGATTTTTCTTTTCACTCTGACCACTTCTCCCTAGAGCCAGCCAAGCTGCCGGCTTCTACTCCTGCTCACGGTGCTCTCCAAACCTTTTAATTATTTAGTTTCTGTCTACCATCCACCGGAAACCGCTTCATAAACAAGGACGGACCAGTGCGCACACATTTTTGCTACAAGTCCCCGAGATTAAGATGAAGGATGGAAGCAGAGAAAGAAAAAGAAAAGAAAGGAAAAAAAGAAAGAAAGGAAGGAAGGAAAGGCGCTTCTTGGCGTGTCAGCCCGGGACGAGGCGACGCTAGACCCGGACCCCGGTTCAAAGTCACGCCGGGAATCCCAAACGTGGTTTTTTGGTCCGAGACCTGGAAGCCAGGGAAAAGAAAAAAGGGAGCCATCCTCGGGAGAAAAAAACTGCTGACGCCAGGACTTGAAAATGTTAACTTGTGAGCTTAGAACAATTTTAAAAGACAAAGGGAAAAAATTTGTGAGGACGAGGCCTTGCGGTGTGGCGCGGCGCCTCTCCGATAACGCCCAGAACTTGGGGGGCGGGCAGTATTCGTTTTCTTTAAAAAGCACCGAGTCGGGCCGCACAGCGATGGAGAGTCCTCCCACCGCACCCCACCCCCACCTCCTCCCCACACCTTGGAAAAATAAAAGATCTCGAAGGCCCTTGGTCTGGATGGTTTGAAGCTGGCAGAGAGGCGTGGGGGGCTGCGGCTGGATGCCCGGTGTAATGGAGCCAGCCTGTAGGGGGTATTTAACATTTAATTCCCAGCCGGTCCGCCCCTGTTCCCGGACTGACAGTGGGTAATTGGGAAAGAGGACGTTGCTCTTTTGATGGCCCGCGCCGGCCAGTCTCGCCGACGCCACACTGGGTTTGACGTCACGGGCCCAGCCCCAGAGCCGGGAGCATAGAGAAGGGGGGCGGGGGGTGGGTAGGGAAAAGGAGGGGAGGGGGATACCCGGTAGGGAGGGCCGAGGTCGGCCCCGGGATCCGTGGGGAAGCGGGGGTGGGGGGGGGGAGGAAGCGAGGCCGGAGAGAGGCTGAAGCGCGTGGCCTGAGGCAGAGAGCCGGGCTGCGGGGGTCTGAGCCAGGCCAGGCGCCGGCCTGACCCGCCTCGCCGGCAAATGCAGGCCGGGCTTCCTCCTCCCAGGGCGGGCGGGGGAGGGGAGGGGGCTCGAGGCCCGTGGAAGGGGGGGAAAGGTGGTCCAGACTCCCCCTCTGCCTTAGCCCGCAAAGCTGGGATCCTGGCCTCCTGCAGAGACGCCTCAGCGCCCTCCTGCCGCCCTGACGGCCCCCTCCCCAGGAACCCCGGCCCTGGCCTGGTCTAGCGAGTCCCCCCTCCTCCCCGGGAGCAGCCGGCGGAGCGCCGGTGGAGGAAGCGAGGAGACCCAGGAGGATATCGCCGCCGCCGCCGCTGCAGGGCCCCGGGCTCCTGCAGGGCGCGAGGCCTCCCTCACCAGGGTAAGGGGCGGTCGAACGGCCTGGGATGCCTGGGACCCTGGGGGCAAGCATCCCGGAGCCGAGCGAGCGACGGGGCGCAGCCACCGGCCCCCCGCCCAGGAGCTGGGGCCCAGGGCCGTGTGTGGGGCTGCGGGAGCCAGCTTGGCCTATCTGAAACGCCAGGCCTCGAGACGGCTGCTGTAGGCGTCAAGTTGAGCGGGGTGTGTGTGCCCTCTTGGGGAAAGGGTAAGAAATGGAGCCTAACTTTCTCTCCTCGGTTGGGGTAAGCTGGGACCCACACACACCCCCAAACACATGCCCAAGTACAGGTCCCTCCCACCCGCCCTCCCGGGACTGCAGAGGCTCTGTCCTGATGGAAGTGGGACGCCCAGGCCCGCAAAGGAACGGGAGCCCACTGCGCAGAGGGGGAGGAGCGTGCCCCCAGGTTCACCCCTGGGGTCGCAGGACCCAGAGAGCGGAGATCCACGCCGCCAGCGTCACCCACCCGAGCCTGGCGACCGGCGCATCCAGGCGAGCTCCGCGGGGCCGAGGTGCCGGGAGAAGCGGCCCCGGGCGCCCGCGCGCCGCCCGCGGAGGATAACCGGAGAGCCGAGCCTCGGGGTCGAAGTCATAAAGTTACTAATCCGGCGCAGGGGGAGTGAGCGTGCTTCGGGCCGCCTGGGGCGGTCATTTGAGCGTGTTTACTTAAGGACTTTGCAAGCGGAGCGCGCGCGAAATAGTCGGATTTCCAGAGAGGCAGCAAATATTTGCAGGCAGGAGAAAGAAGCGGAGCGGGGCCGCGACGCCGCGTCCCTCCCCCCGGAGCCGCGGCGCCGGCCTGGGCGGACCCGGCCTCGCAGTTAAAGACAGAAATGAAGCCGGGAACCTGCCGGGCTGGGGGCAGGGAGGGCGCAGAGCTACAGCGAAGGCCAGAAATTGGAGCGCGGCCCGGAGGCCCTGGCGAGCCGGGGCTGGGGGGGAGGAGAAGTCCCTTCCCATTCCAGCTCGATCAATCTTCCGTGGCTGCGATCGGTCAATAAAAATGGTGTTAATCGGCCGTGGTTGCTGTACGTCTG